GAACATGAATCCCTCCCTTCAAGGTTGTAGGATACACAGCCTTGCTGACTGGTGGTGAGTGCCAACTAGCACGAAACCTAGGTAGGTCCCGGCAAGGCTTCCTGTGGCCGATTGCGTCAGTGGCACAGTGTTTAGGACTCTCGCCGACCATACACATGGTCCGGGGTTTATCCCCTGCCGATGCACACCTGGTCGGCCTGCAAAATTTGGGCTACCGATATCTCATGCTGAAAATTCCATACTTGTACCAAAAATACGGTGTAGAATCAAGCTGTAATCGAAATAAAATAAAAATATAAACTAAGTTTAACATCTGAACATACTTCTGTGTTTACAATGATAAAGAGTAATTGATTGGAACTGAGAGTAAGTAACATTGGTCAGGAATGATGTAAGTTGTTAAATAATTAAGAGTGAAAAGGATCGACTATTTAATTTATAGAAGAATTGCATGACTAAGCTTGGAAACAAAAGGACAGAATAGTTCAACAAATGTTTTTCAGGTAGAAATTAAGTTTAACTAGAATGAGTAAAGAAAGTAACCGGTTACGTAACTACAGAAGACAAAACTTTCACCTTATGTTACCTCCAATTGCGTCTAACAATTTACATGTACGTGCCAAAGCACATACATTGGAAAAACAGAGAGAAGGGTTATACCACAGAAACTGAGACTAAAGGGCCCATAAGCATTAAACAGTGCGATTGAACGCCATCTAATGGACACTGGCCATGTTGTGGACAATCTGAAGGCGTTCAAAATAATCAACAGACAAAAGAAACCTAGCCTGCTTCGTTTTGTTGAGGCAAACGGCTAAAACCAAATTTATGTACAGTGGTGAATCTTGTACTGCCTTGGTGATTTAAAAAGAAAATTTTTTATTCCTTTACGTTCCCAGTGAAACATAGGGCTTCAAGCGAAGGCTTGAAGTTTCAGTAGCGGTTGTGTTTATTTTTATGAGATGGGCTTGCTGTTATCCTCATGCCCCCCAACCTTCCCTCTTTACCAGTCTTATTACTGACTTAGCGAGGTAAAGGAGGAGTGCGTTTGTGGCTGGGGATCGAACCCCAGACCATATGAGTGGTCGGTGAGCATTCTATCGCCATGCCACCGATGCACGCCTTGGTGATAACAAAGCATAAAAATTGTACTACGTCTGCTTCTGTCCTGTTTAGAAATTTTGATTTTTCGTCTAAACATGACTCATCCTATCCCAGCTTTTTGTCTTTTTTCTATAAGCGTGATTTTCTTTTGGAAAACAGAAAGATTGAGCGAAGAAATATTTACTTTTCAATTAGATCCTCATCTCACCCTGGCTCTACTCTAATATATATAGCATTTCTCTTTCAATACACAACAGTTTACCAATCAAGTGGCGGGCTATATGTTTGTTAACAATAATTAAACAGTGTCAAAATGTCAATGGGTTGATAATTAACGCAGAAAATCAATACACATTTAAAAGGTAGAAATGGTTAGAATAAATTAATTTTACAAGGATAACACGTAATTAAAGATGAAGTGGTCAGAAAAATAATTTAGACAATTATAATTTAATACGGGGCGACGTAGTCCTGTCTATGTTCGAGAAATAAGGATAAACTACCTAATTTTGCCTCTTCTATGTGTGTCTAGCAGTTTGACTGCAGCTGCGGAGCCAGCTACATTGGGCGTACAATTAGGAAGTTTCATCGTCGTATTTCCGAATATCATCCAACATGGTTAAGCAAGGGACAAACAAGATCTATTCGTAGCTCTATTGTAGCACATCTTGTAGATGGTGAGCATAAGTTTGACGTGAATACTGCATTTAAAACTATTTATCGAATTCCTACTAATCTTAATTTCGCTCTAAGAGTTCGTCTTCTACATATATACAGCTGAAGCAATAGGAATCTACCTGAATAAGCCAAACCTGTGTGTTCAGAAGAAATTTGTACAGCCACTTTCCTTACCGTGGCCATCGTTACAAGAATGCATAAACAGGACTACGTCGCCCTCCTCCCCCTAAACCTATAAAACTTATAATTGTCCAAATTATTTTTATTTATTTTTACCACTTCATCTTTAATTACGTGTTATCCTTGTAAAATTAATTTATTCTAACCATTTCTACCTTTTAAATGTGTATTGATTTTCTTCGTTAATTCTCAACCCACTGACATTTTAACACTGACTAATTATTTTTAACAAAACATATCAGTGCCACTTGATTGGTAAACTGTTGTGTATTGTAATAAAAATGCTATATGGATATGTATTAGAGTAGAGCCAGAGTGAGATGAGGATCTAATTGAAAAGTAAATATTTCTTCGCTCAATCTTTCTGTTTTCCAAATGTCTAAATGGGGATATTTTCTATATTGATTTTCTTTTGTTACGTGACTGGTTACTTTTTTATACTCTTTCTATTTAAACTTTATTTCTACCCACAAAAAATCTGTTGAACTTTGTCCTTTTGTTTCCAAGCTTAGTCATGCAATTCTTCCATAAATCTTGATATTGTTCAGGTTGTATGCAGCCAGTTGAGAAGAATCCACGAAATAATAAAAAGAGTGAGCTCAGATTATCCTGGTACACATTTTTCGTTCCTGCTTTATTCAAATTTCCTCAGATAGTTAGTCTAACGTGAGTTTAAGAACAATAAAGTTCAGCGAAGGGTCTCTTTTCAGCGGCGAATTCATTCACTTAGCTGTACAATCGCATTTATATATAATTATTTTGTGTGTATGTGTGTGCATATTAGGATTGTCAAACAAAAATTAAAATTAGTTAGGGTTACTGTCTATGTCATCAGAATGTTTCTCAAATGTGATGAATAATCAGAATTGTAACTAGGGGGAGGGGGGTGAAGATTGGTAAGTACTGACAAGGGTTGCGTAATATAAAATAGGATGTTAATGGAGACACGTGTCCAAAAAATAAATTATGTAATAGGTAGAAAGAGTAAATAAAGGGTTAGTTAAGAAAAAGATGTTACTAAGTCGTCATACAAACATTCAAAAAAAGTATTACAACAAGAACGGCAGAAGTAAAACTAGGTTATGTACATTGTTGTAGGTAATGTTAGTATTTGATGGTTGTTCTCACACAAAGTTAACCTTGCATCTCTTGTGGCTGTGTCAGTTCATCTATATGTTAACTGTATCCGCCTGTCCATCTTGACTTTGGACCTCAATTACTATCAACCAATTTGGCTAGCAACCATCTCTCACCACAACATGACCAATATTTGATACATAAACATTGACCTCAATTACTGTCAACCAGCTATACAGCTCTCGCCACAGTATCAGTAACAAAATAGTCAAGCTTGTAATTATATCCAAGGTAGAAGAAGGGGATGGAGAAGTTTCTTCTGTGTAAATAAATCTGGATTTTCTATCCAGATCGCTAAGGTCTCGTCAATGCAAAGTATGCGAAGCTTACCTACCATTTTCACGAGGCTCATTTTGAATTTGTGGATGACTTTGAATGACTACCAGTGTTGAATATATGTTCAATTATAGCACTCTTTGATTGGTTGAAGGATTTCATCATCAACTGACATCAGTTAGAGAACCATTGGAAAACCAACAGGGAGTACTGGATAGCCATCTAGCTGTTTCGTCAGCGTAGTTCGAGACTGACTCTTCATCAGTACGCACCCACCGACGGGGTTTGAACCCAGGACCTTCTGGTTACAAGGCAAGTGAGCTCGTAGACCATTAAGCCACTGGGACCCGATCCAATGGCAGCCAGTCCATGAATTCTAACTTCTGCCAATTCACGACATAGCGCGACCGCTAGCCAATGTCATCAGTGGCGAGTATTTGTCCTCACACCCGACCTGCTGCACCCTACTGGTCACGACTTCCCACTACCTACCTGAATAGGGCCAGTCGCCAGTGAGCATCTCATCGATATTCAAGTAGCACTCTTTATTGATCCACTGTTACCTTTTCGTAGCCAAGCGGCATAATGTTCTCTGACTCTTTTAGATAAAACACTCATCGAAGGACCGATGTACCTCGCTCTTTCCACATGAGCAAGTAAATTGGTAGATTCGCATGGAAATGGTCAAATGCAATAGTTATTTCTTTGGAATTGTTGAAGAACAGTGGGCGGCATGAAAATACCAATCGTAATGTAGCAGCAGAGAATGTTCTTTTCAGGGCGTTAGATATTCTTCGCTTTAGGATGTTGGCCAGAAAAGGTCGCCTTTGAAGGCCACATTCATGTATAGCATCTTCTTCGGCACAGAGATGGGTTGTTCTTTGTTGATTTTCAGCTTTATGTGTTTATCTATAAAGCGTGGTGGATAGCCATTCTCAGGTAGTGTCTTCCTCAAAAAAGTGATCTCTCCTTCACTATTCGGGACTGCAGATTCTACGGATTCTAGTCGCAAGAAATAGTATCAGGTTCCGCTTGCAATTGATGGGTACCCAACTGTAAAAGTCCCATCAGTCTTCGTTGTTAGTCAGACATCCAGAAATGCGATTGTCTCTCCGATTTCTGCTTCAATTGTAAATCTGATTTCTGGGTGGCAGCTATTAAAAACCCGAAGGACATTATTTAGGTCATATTTTTTATCACAGATGATAAAAGTGTCATTGACACGTACCTTTTGTACAGCAGAGAGAATTTGTCTATTGTCGGTTTCAATGGACCATTTTCCAAACGTGAGTTTGTATTATATCATATCAGATATTACGTTTAGCTATCTTGAAAACTTTCTTTATTTGGCAAGAATGGGAATATTGTTGCTGTACTATGCGCGAAAACACCTAGCGATTAGGTAGCTTTTATGCCTCACTCGAAAATTTTAGATTTTACGGTTTAAATTTCACAACTCGTTTGATTTGATTGTATGTCTGGTTGTCTGATTATATGTGGTATTTTCGTGTATTGATTTTTGATACGATTAGATAAAAGACTACATCTTGTCCACTATGACCCCTTCATATATGACCCAACAGATTACTACACGCATATTAGAGACAGTGAACGATACTTTTAACGTAAACTTTATTAATAATGCATATATATATATATGATATATAATATAAAGTTGTCTAATTAAGATTGTGTATAGCAGATTAGTTTTAAGCCCTATAATTAATCATCAACGTGCACAATTATTGCTTCTTTGCATTGATTGATTGACTTTGACACACATTTAACCAGTACGTTTGGTCCGTGACAGTAATGATCTAATACGACCGCGTAGTTCTGCATTCTGTACAGAATTAGTTATACTTAAACCAGTCGAATAACCCTATAGTTTAACAACAACAAAAAAATGGAAAAAAAATGATGGAAAATTAATTGTGTATACATTATTTTTTCTCAATTCAATAAGCAAATGAAAAACAAACAAAAAATTACGTAATAGTCAACAATATACAAATTACAAATTTTTTTAAAAATTTATATGATAATTATAGAAAATTGTTTTGCATGTAAAAAAAGAAAATACTCTTCGATTTGTGTGGATTTCTCAGAATCGAATCAAGTCAAGGGACTCAGCTTTTTTTCTGTTATTCATTTTTCAATAATTCTGACTGTATTTTATGCGAGAGATTGTGTGTATTATTGATTTTGCTAATCGATAACTCTTAGCCTATAGCAGTCTAAAACGAAACGACCTAATAATGACCTTGACGAATTTCTATCGACCAATCAGATGCGTTTGAGGCAGAAGTACGTAAATTTGAAAAAGACGTTTATGCAAAAGTAATGCAGTGTTAAAAAGTAGTTACATAGAGTAACTTCCTTGTTTTTTTCCAAGAAAAAACCTTCCAATTTCTCATAGGAGTCCTCATAGTTAAATTCGTCGGATAATGTAAATCATCGTGTTTCTTGACTCATTCACCGCTCCAATTCACCTTTTTGGATGACTCTAGAAACTTTCGAAGGAATTTGTGTGGGTTACATCGAAAGGATTAACGAGATCATCCGTATGATTGACCACATTATTAATATAGCCCAAGGATGGCAGATGGCTACATGTTTTCGCCCTTCCAATGAGCCTGTGATCTAAGTAGTACTTAAGTGCTAAATTTAGATGAAATTTGCTTCGTAATTAGTGTACATCATCCATAATTCCGTCTATATACTATGGACACTGACTGGTTGCTCAACGTCATTGATCCGTTCATATTGGGTAGTTTCGTTTTGGGCTGGTATGGTTTAGAGTCAGTCACCTGCTAATCTTTTTGAACAAGTTCAATCTTGAAGAAATCCATTCTATTATGTGCAGGCGAAAACCAACAAACTGGCTGAAGACGCCAGCAGGTGGCGAAGACAGGACTCCAGGTGAACATGGAGAAGACGGAGGTAATGAAGACAACCAGTACCAATCACCATCAATGGGAGAGATTTAACAGGGGTTACTTCCTGACTTCACTTATCTGGCTGTGGAGCATCATTTCAACCACAGGCGACAGCACGGATGAAACCAGTTCGGAAATCTTCTGCTGTCACTCAGCCACCATAAACAACAACATTCGGATTTTCAACACCAATGTCAAGTCAGTCAGCCAGTCACTTCCCAAATGGGTCAGAGACATGGTGGATGCATCACGGAAAGCTGGCTACTGGCTCCATATTGAAGATCAAATGGCAGGTTAGGAAGAATTAGCAACAAGAAACTATGTCTGGCAACAAATCAATTAAGTAAGAGCCGACTGCTCAACAAGTATGTAGGAAAAAATGGAGATGGATAGTGCACACACTGAGGAGGCCATCGCGTGCCAGGCCACCGCCCGAGTGGAATTCAAATGGGAAGCGATGAGTGGGTCGTCAGTATGAGGGTGACTTGGAGAAGATCGTGTGTTGGGGAGGAGGAGATGAGAGGTTATGGGGAATCGTGGGGTTAGACAACTGAAGAGGACAACAAAAAATAGAAGAAAGTAGAGATGTGTTGTTCAAGCCAGCCGTATATTCCACTGGGAACCCAAGGAAATAATAATAATGGTATTCACACTTAAGCTAACTGAACTGGTTGAAATGCATATTCACACAACCCTTATAAGATTGACCATAAGATGAGTAGTAAAGCAAAATTCAGACAGTCTCAAGTTTAAACCTAAGAATGTTCCATTAATCGCTAAACTAGTTGTCTCTTTAAAGAGCTACTCAAGTTACTTAACAACCTAAATAACGCCCTGGTGTTTCCTTATAAGTGATTTTTATATTTTGCTGATAAGTTGTTCAAAAAAAACACAACAACAATAACAGAGAACCCTCGTCGTATCAAGTTTGTTTCTAAAGAGGTTTCTAAAGAGATCTATATATATGACGGATGTCAATCAAATGCTGCTTCTAGGTCTTCCTGTCTCTCCATTATCGCTTCTAACTCTTTGCTTTTTGTCGCTGTTGTTGTTGTTGATTGTTCATTTGAACAAAATTGATCAATACAAATCTACCATAGGGCTGTTGTTAGGTTGTTGATGTGTGATGAATTACATATATGGTATGAGCTTCTCTCAATGCATCACTTGAAGAAAATAAGTGCATCTTTGTGTAATAGATACTACATTAAGCTTAAAACGGTAGAAGTGTAGTGATTCATCTCAGTAACAGTTTTCAGATTTATACTCCACGTTTTGGTGGGAATAATTGCTTATTATAAAATCAAATCCTCAACATTAAGTGTGAGTCATATAACTGAGTAGACAAAATCATTTGTACAAAGCAAGAACTACAGTTTTAGCAGAATAAAATGGTACCATCTTTGTTTATTTCGTTGCCTTCTCGTCAGCTGCTTACAGGCCAAAGACATTATTAAATGTATCTACAAAAACAATTTTAACATACTTGCACAGAGTTCATGTTTAAACAAAAATCAATCGATCAATATACGCATACACTAATATATATATATATGCAATATTAAACACTATTCCGAACAATAATAATCATACACAATGGAAACTTTTCAGTATCTCGCATTCGGATGAAAAATATCCAGTTACCAAGCAGGGCAAAGAAAGACTGATAACCGCTTCTTTCTGAACGCATAAATCAGGTTTCAGGCGCTTGATGGAAATGGCTTCAGCAAACTTAAGGAGCTTTTGTCCAAATAGCTTTAAACGTGGTCTAGTCAAGACTCTGTACTATAGAGCGAGGAGAATATGCTCTATAGAGAAATTAGAGGAAGAATTTGAGTTTCTTGAAAAGATGTTGAAGAGCAATGGGTACCCTCAAAGGTTCATCAACAAGTATGGAAGATCTGAAGTCACAAATGTAAGAACAAATCACAGTAAGAAAAAAAGCCAATCTACTTTCAGCTTGATTATAAAGGTGAAAACATTGCAGCGATGATCAACAGAAGGCTGAGTACATCACTAGCCATAGCCTATCCTGCAGCTAAGCTCGTTCCCGTCTATCGAACAACTTTGATGCAATCAAAAATCGATAGATATCCTTCTCATGTTAACTCCAACTGTATATACAAATTTACATGTATCTTTCGGGAGCAGTTACATTGGAAGTACAGAAAGAAGGGCATATCTACGATTTTCTGAACATGTATCAAAAAGCTTACGTCTAAAGGGAACAAATGCCTTAAACAGTGCCATCGCCAGGCATCTCCTCGACACGGGTCATGAGGTGGACGTCGAAAAGTCGTTCAAAATTATCAATAAGCAAAAGAGCTCAATTCTCCTTAAGTTTGCTGAAGCCATTTCCATCAAGCCCCTGAAACCTGATTTATGCGTTCAGAAAGAAGCGGTTATCAGTCTTTCTTTGCCCTGGTAACTGGATATTTTTCATCCGGATGCGAGATGCTGAAAAGTTTTCATTGTGTATGATCACTATTGTTCGGAATAATGTTTAATATTGCATATATATATGTATATATTATTAGTGTATGCGTATATTGATCGATTGATTTTTGTTTAAAATGAACTCTGTGCAAGTATGTTAAAATTGTTTTTGTAGATATATTTAATAATGTCTTTGGCCTGTAAGCAGCTGACGAGAAGGCGACGAAATAAACGAAGGATGGTACCATTTTATTCTGCTAAAACTGTAGTTCTTGCTTTGTTCAAATTCATTAAGGGGAATAAATTTATGAAAATCATTTGTGCAGGATAGCTTAGCTGCTGATAATATTGGCGAAAAATATTTGTGTTGTTTCTAAATTGAATCTAAAGATTTTGACACCTTGGAATGCAAAATATAAAACTTACTGGAATGAAGGTTGGATCAAAACGAGTTGTACGTTTCTCTTTTTCTTGTGCTCTTGAAGACATAGTTAAACACGGCATTCTGAAATGAAATAATCAGTTAAAATGTTGACGTAAATTAAAGATAATTTCCCATATGAATTTATTAGATATACCCACACAGTGAGTGAAACAGTATTATTATTATTATTTACTGGATGGCGACGCCTTTCGAACACAATTTATTTATTGCTGCTCATAATCATCACATCAATTATAATAATCACACAACTTTGAAACTTGAGTTTTATAGTTTTGTTTTTTATTCTTTCCTATTCGTCGTCGTAGACGGGGTGGTAGTAGAATGCTCCAGATGTCTGGGTAGACAGGTGTTGAATCATTCCCATTACACATATTCTCTTCATTTGATTCGATAAATAAAGCTTCAGTTATGAAACGAACTCACTTCTGACCAAGAACTTGAACTTAAAACAAAAGTGCCACTGGAAGACATAATGCTGGAAGTGCAGCTATGCCTGACTTCCACAGTATTTAAGTTCCAAGGGAAAATATACAAACAAACTGAGGGAGTCGCCAAGGGGTTACCAATATCCCCAGCTGTGGCAGATATATTCATGGATAGGTGGCAGAACTGAATGATTGAAACGCTCAGCCCCACCCCAAAAGTATGGTGGAGGTATGCAGATGACAAACTCACTGTACACTTAGAACACACGATACAAATAGATTTTTCGAACACATCAACTCAAAGGTAGAAGCAATTCAATTCACTTATGAATTGGAAAGTCAGGAAGGGGAGCATCCAATGTTAGATTGTAGCGTAAAAAGGAAAGAAGATGGGAAGTTAAACCCACATATTCAAACCAATATTTGGATTTCCGATCATCCCACCATCATGTTAGTGAAAATAGGATTGGTGAAATGTTCAAGTCATAGGGCATAAAAACTAAGAAGTACCAAGGAAAATCTAAGACAGGAAGTGAGGCATATAAGGGAAGCTTTGAAACTTAATGATTACCCTGATTAATGCAAAAATAAAATTATTAATAATGGTGGTGATAGTTACAATAATATTACTAATGATGACATGCATGTCAAACATGCACAGAATGATGACAGCACTAACAATAAGGAATTTAAATCGCCATCAGTAGTACTTCCATACAAAGAAGGAACCTCGGAGACGGAGAATTCTTAACAATGCAGGCAGCAATAAAAGTGGCTGGCATTCAAACTGCCCCCACAAACTCAATTCCAGACAAGCTTTGTCGTTTAATGAATCAATCCTGTGGAGGCAATTAAACAAAATAATTTAGTCTATCTAATGCCCTGGCTGCGCTGATTTTCAGGTTAAATACATAGATCAAAGTAGTAGAACGGGGTCAGTCACTTACTGAGACTAGCGGAGCACTAAAATCTAGATTTGTTGACGCCAATAAGATAAGAAATCTGGAGAATAGTTCAGCTATAGGACTACACCACATGCAATTACACACAACCATACAATAGGAGCTTTATTTATCGAATCAACTAAAGAGGATACGTGTAATAGGAATAACGTGTTATTTTTTGTTGTATTTTGAATGTTATCTGCACGTTACGTTTCTGAACTGAATTAAAGCTAATCCAGTGATTTCTTACAGGATTTCATCATGAGCTGACATCGGTTAGTGAACCATTGGGAAATCACCATGGGACTATTCCGCAGTACGCACCCACCACAGGGGGTTCGAACCCAAGACCTGCCGGTTACAAAGCTAACGAGCTAGTAGACCATCAAGCCATCGGGACACGACCGATCCAATGACCAGCCAGTCCATGAATTACAACTTCTGCCAATTCACACACGCTATATAGCGCGACTGACACTAGCCATTGTCATCAGTGGCGCGAGTATTTGTCCTCACACCCGACCTGTTGAACTGTACTGGTCACGACTTCTTACTAGAACTCAGGTAACTAACCTACCTACTTGAATAGGACCAGTCTCTAGATTAATAGAAATACATTTTTCTAGCATCAACCTCTTTTATTTTACAATGTTATGCCGCTGAAATGGATGAATATAGGACGAAACAGTTGGCTTTCCGGTACTCCTAGTTGATTTTCCAATGGTTCTTTAACCAATGTCAACTCATGATGATATCCTGAAACCAATCAAATCAAATCCCTGCAAATCAACACTTAAATACCAGTGATTTCTAAGTTTTTTTTTCATTTATATCATTTGTGTCTACTTTTAGTTATCGGTGTGAATAAAGATTTTTTCTCGGGTGTGTGTTTGTGATAAGAATTGTGTTGATTGATGCATCCACTTACTACAACTACTATTACTTACTATTCAACATGAAACTCACAATCACTTACATTAAGCAGGTTGGAAGTGAAATACAAGTTCTAACCTGCTTAACAAAGTTTTGAAATTAAAAAAAACTTTATAAATTCTCTTCCGTAAAGGTATGATTTATTCACATCTGATATACAGCGATATACATAGGGATTGACTTGTTACTACCAGGGTGTGAATAATCTCGTTGACTTAGAATATGCATATGATATAGTCTTCCCTCCTGGGTGAAGATGCTGACAAAATAGAGCAGGGTTTTCTGAACACATTGAGCAGTGAGAAATCTTCGAATGTTTGGCATGTAAGCGATTCGCTGCTGGTGTCAAGTGTAAGGTGATGCTTGCCACAGGACTGGACTGGACTGGACTACATCGACTGACTCCCTAGCTTAGGGATAGGGGGGTAGGTGGTGGAGTGTGGTCAACACACTTTGCTTCACTTATTTTGGGAGGGCTTGGGAAGTTGCATCAGCCAACACCAGTGGGTTGACCGATCTCTGATGACATCTCAGCACGGATACACAAGGCTGGTTTGGCATGTGATAACATACCCCATCTCTGGCTTAGTAGACGTGATATCCGGCTGTTTGTTGAGCAGCACTTCGCTCTATCCTCCTTTATGGCTGTGACTGAGACATATTAATTGAGAGTGGAAGACATGAAAAGCCTGGCTAGCTAGCTAGCTGTCTTTGATCATAGGTGTCCGCGTTTTATCTCCCGTGTGAAGTGATATAATAGGGTGGGCAATATGGAGGTAAGGCGTCGAGTGTTAGGTAGGTGGGAGGCGAAATCAATCGACGAGGTGAGAGATGGTTAGGACATGTGTTACGCATACCACTAAACCATCGATCGCCTTCCTCGACTGACGGGCAATGTTAGCTGACATAGGATGAGTCAGGTTTGAAAAGAAAAAGTGGTGGTAAAACGAAAACACGGCTGCATCAGTCAATGAAATCCACAACAGTTAGTTTAAGCCAGCCACGTAGGGAAGTGTAGACTTCTTGTCTGGTTGGGGTCCTCGGGATGGTGAAGACCAATGGCGGCTTGAGAGAGTTGGTGATATGGCTGAAAATTGTTTGAGCAAATACGACCCTCAGGTTCCGTGATTCTCTGGTTATATGGTCTACCGAAACCGCACAAAGGGAAAGTACCACTATGTCCAATCTTGGATATGACAAATCCCCCATATCATGCAACTGTCAAATGGCTCGGAGACATCCTCCTACCAATCATAAATAATCTCTGTCAGCATAGTGTTTCAAATTTATTTGAATTTGTCGATTCAATAAGTGATACTAATGTATCCAGGAAGAAAATGATATCCATGGATGTTACGTCCCTTTTCACTAATGTTCCTCTCACTGAAACTATTTCCTTTATATGCAGATTCATTTAGGATAGTAATGTAGAGGTGGGTGTTGCGATCAACTACTTAAAGGAACTACTATTGAGGTGCACTTTAAATGTCCGATTCAAGTTCAACAACACGCTTTATAGACAAAGAGACTGAGTGGCAATGGGGTCACCATTGGGTTATTTACTTGTAGACTGCTTCTTGGTGAGTTTGGAGAATAGTATGTTACGGCCTACTACCGTAGTTTCCATATGTACCAAAGATACATGGATGATACTTTCATCATATATGACGAGAATACTGACATCGAAGTGATAACAAAAGAGTCCAGCAGCTGCCATCATGCCATCCAATTCACGTCGGAATCGGAGATGAACTCGGAATTCTATTTTTTTGGATGTTTTTCAAAAAAGGAGATCTGACGGTTCTCTGCAAAGACTGATGTACAGGAAACTAACATGGAATGGTCAATACACGAATTTCCATATTTGGGTCCCTTTGAAAAGAAAGAGAAACCTGATCCGCTCTTTATCCTCAAGAATAAGAAGGATATGTACCAGTGATACAATCGACAGTGAACTAAAGTGACTCAGACAAGTCCTCACAGAAGATGGATATCCCCCAAGATTCATCGAGAAAAACATGAAGATGAAGCGAAAACCCGAGAGAACCCATATGGTACCAAAGAAACTGTTACTCATGAACGTTGAATTTAAAGGTGATACCGAAGCTGAGATTTTGAAGAACCGCTGCTTATGCAGATCACTGAGAAAAGCCTTCTTTATGGCTGAGCTACGTATCAATTTCTACAGCCGACAAATGACCAGTGGATGTGTGAAGGATAAACCGCTGCCACTTTGGGCCACTTCAATGTGTGTTTATGAATTCACCATGCTCTTTTGGGGCTAGTTATATTGGCTGCACAAAGCGCACACTTTCCAAACTCATCTCTGAACATTATCGTTCATGGTTAGCAAAAGGACAATGCAAGACAGTTACCAGCTCAATCCTCGAGCACTTGGTGAACTCAAGCCACGTAGCTCCTCTAGAGTCATCTTTCAAGGTCATCTACAAGGTTTTGGCATTCGTGTATGGCGGAGGCGCTGGCAATTCATCAATACATCCTCGAACTCGGTATATAGAAGTAAGTTTCTCCAGTCTTTTATTCTTCCTTGATCTTAACCTCTTCACTGATCGTTCCCTGTAGAAAATTTTTATTAATTCTCAATTTCACTTTTTAGTTTACTTTTACTTTTATTGATAATTAATTCACTATTATCACTCTCATATGTTCCTTTTGTACATTTTCATGCTTGTTAAATTGACAATCAACTACTTTTAACCTTATCAAAATTTCAAATTGTGTATTGCTTTTGGTTAGC